ATGTCTATCACATCTATTACTTGGAATTTTCGGGGCCTGGCTAATAGGGCCACTCTCGCTCATCTCCACTCTCTCATACGTGATCATAGATTGGACTTCGTTGGCTTTATAGAGCAGATGATTCGCACCCCTGATTTTGACTACTACTCACGGCGCCTTGGCTTCCACTCGGGCGTGGGTAACACTTCGCATAAGATCTGGTTCTTCCACTCGTGTGATTACACCTGTCGGGTCCTCCGGGATACTGAATAGGTGCTTCATATTGAGCTTTCTGCGGCCCACCTCCCCGAGCCCATATTCCACACCTTGGTTTATGCCAAGTGTAATAGGGTCGAGAGATATGATCGCTGGGACACCCTGCGTGAGATTGCCGAGAGTATGGAGAGATTGCCATGGATGGTTAGTGGCGATTTCAACATCTTTCTGCATCCCGATGAGCGTGTGGGTGGCCTTTCGGATCGCTCTAGAGAGATGTGGGACTTTGCTCAGGCTGTGGCGGACTGTGAGTTGATTGATGTTGGATGTGAGGGTGAGCCCTTCACGTGGGTTAGGGACGACGTCAAAGAGAGGCTCGACCGTGCTTTGGTTTTCTGAGGCGTGGTCGAAGGCGTTTGCGGCCACAGTCGTCTCACACCTCACTCGATTTGGGTCTGACCATTCATCCCTCCTCATTAGGTGTCGATTTTCGAGCACCCCTCGCCGTTCATCCTTTAGGTTCCAAAACATGTGGGTTCGCCACCATTCCTTCCACGACACTGTCAGGGACTCCTGGCTCCAGCCGACTGGGCTCTTCGAGATACGCAATCTCGAGGCGAAGCTCGGCAGACTTCGGCGTAGGTTGAGACAGTGGAACTGGGATGTTTTTGGAAACCTCCATCAGCGCCTTTCTGCGGCTCAGAGTGCGCACGCGGAGGCTGAGCGGGCATATGATCTGGATCCCACTACGGAGAATAGGACTGGGATGCACCGCTGCCATGTCGAGTACCATCTCCGACTCCTTATGGAGGAGGATTTCTTGAAGCAGAAGGCGGCCGTTCGCTGGGTGGCCGAGGGCGAGCGGAATACTAGGTTCTTCCAGGGTTTCGTTAGGCAGAAGCGTGCTAAGTCGTACATCCACAGCATTGAGGCTGATGGGTCATCCCTGACCCAAGAGTCTCAAATTCGGGAGTCGGCTGTTGCCCACTTCCAGACCCTTTTCACCTCCGACAGAGGGGCTCTCGATGCCCCGATCGCTTCTTTCTTTCCCACCATTCCTCCTTCGGTCGACCTTGTCGGCCTCTGTGAGCTCCCGAGTAGGGAGGAGGTTGGGGATGCTGTCTTCGGGATTGATCCCAATAGCGTTTCTGGCCCTGATGGGTTCTCTTGGCCACACATTATGTACCAAATCTTGTTGCTAGAAATGAGCCTCACGTCCTTACTTTAAGAATGTGGTTGCATTGGAACCAATCCCTATATATATATATATATATATATATATATAGGTAGGATTATATAAGAAGGGATAGTGAAAGAAATAAAAGACTTTTAGCTATTGGATGTGATATATCAACGCTCTAGGCATAGTCAAAGAGTTTAGATTTAATCAAACACAGTGACATTCCGTTATAAGTGGGCTTTCGGTTTTTCACGCAGGGTATTTTAGTAGAATGCACTGTTGCACTAAGTTGCAATCTGACGAACACTAATGTGTAATGTGTATCAATAATGTGCAGTCTGCCGTAAGAATAATTTTGTGTGCAATTTCAAATGTGATATTATATAATGCACTGAACATTAAAGTGCAACTATCAACTTTTATTAATTTACAAATTTAACACACTAACTAAATTGTAATATAGTTAATAAATATTAAATTTGCAAATAATTCTCTTGAACCTATCTAATTTATAAAAAAAAAATAAAAAATTGGCCCCACTTCCGAATTTCTAATTTCTGAAAATTGGTGCTGCTTGTTCTATTATCCGGTCTCCGTGGACGGCGCCAGCATCGGGATGGGCTAAGGCGGCAGCGATGGGGAGGATAGAGATGGCAGCCTCATCGGATATCACCGTGTGGGATTTGTAAGGCGACGACGACAAGATTTAAAAGGCACGACTGAGAAGAAAGATACTGTAGCGGCGGCGGGATTCCGACAGCAGCCATGAGTGGCGCCGACGAAGAGTGGGTCACGCCATCATGTCAGACGATGTGTTGGTCGTTGAGCTCCTGGTCAGGCTCCACCACACGCAGCTGCCTCTGCTCGAGCGACCCCAGCTATCCCTGAAGGTGCTACCACTGCTAGAGGTGGATGATGGCGGAGACGAGACTGCGCGACGGATGAGATTACGACTGACATCGACTTGTTTAGCGGCAACGGAGGTCGACAATAATGCAGGTCGGCAGGTAACAACGACGATGGAGGTCGGTCGGTAGCGGCGGCGGAGGCCAGCTAGAGGCCGAGAAAAAAAAAAAGCCAAAATGGGTATGTGCATGTGTGTGCGTATGTGATGTGTGTGTGCGTGTGTTGTGTGTCGATGTGTGTGTGTGTATATATATATGTGTTTGTGTGTCTTGTTATGTGTGTGTGTGTGTTGTGTGTTGTGTATTGATGTGTGTGTGCATGTGTTGTGTACTGATGTGTGTGTGCGTGTATGTGCATGTGTTGTGTGTCGACGTGTGTGTGTGTGTATGTGTGTGTGTGTGTGTGTGTGTGTGTGAGTGTGCGTGATGGTGTGGGTTGGTTTGATAATATGTGGCGTTATGGGTCCATTATTAAGGTGTGCAAAATTATCACATTGTCCTTAATAAAGGTATAATTTTTGTTTTTTTTTTTTTCGCTATTAGATCATTCGATCTAATGACTACGATGTATTCTTATTTCTTTCACTGAGCACCTTTCTCACTTGAAACCAATATATATATATGGTACTGCAATTAATTAAAGAATGATTTGATTGTTTGCAATTTATTAATTATTTGCTTTCTTTTGTTAATATTGTTATTAACAAAGTGAGATGTTAATGTTTGTGTATATACTGAAAGCTTGGATTTGAATGTTATTGACACTAGTTCTGTTGAATGAGAATCGTGTCTGATTAAACAAGTCTTATGTTATGATGTTTTATATTTAGATAAAATGGTTCATCACGGATGGACAAAATATCATTTTATTAGTCATTAATTTGTGGAACAAGAATAATTGGTTCGCAACCTAGATGAAAATAAATAGCCATCGAAATGATTGTAGTGTCAACAGTACAATTGATCTTGACTTATTAGTTGCACTAGTACATTTCATGTAATTAATAGGATCCCGGAGAGGAGTAGTTCGTTTTATACTAATCGTTGTAAATGAACTAGGGCTCAGTTAATTACTGCGTTATCTTAACATGTAAGATATAAACAGGCATGTGCACGCAGTATCTACTACCTTGATTCACGAAAAGTGAGATCCTTTCTTATTGGTCAATTGTCTTCGTGTTTTGAGTAGTAGTGTTGCATGTATGATGTGTCGTTATAATATTCACGGGCATCATGTGCGTTGGTTTGATGATGTTCTCGAAATGAGCTCATGGAGGATTATTATGCTACACCCAGCATGTGGATTAAGTTTCGGCATAATAATAATGATTTGAGTGGTACTAGCTTTGGTATAAGATGTCGATCAATTCATGATTTTCATAAATCGAATTAATTTGTGGACAATATATCTTAAACGTAGGGAGGCAATTCGAGTAATTACTATTAGAGTCTTGAATATAGTTCGAGAATGTTGAGGGAGTACAATAATATTCTTCAATGGACCGAAATATTATTTTAGTTAATGAGCAGAGTGCGTTTGGCCCACAGTGAGGCCCAATACTTAACAAATCCACATCATCACCTCCTTATGGTCCTTGATGTAACCCTATGAAAACACCATGTATCTTATGGGATTGGACATATAACCATACACATATACACGAGAGTTTTGGTTGGCCCTAGTTGTCAAGAAATCGGCTCCGAGACTTGTTGCTCCACCGAGACAACCACAGAGGTGTCAAGTTATACAACAGAAGTCTCCGAGGTAGACGAGACCCTGGAGACCGTCTGCGACCACCGCGCATGACCATACCTTCCCAGCGATCGGCCGCGAGCGACTAAGCCTCAGCCTTGACGATCTCCGCACACATTTGCAATCAGCTGTGAGCCGAACTCTTCGGCGTCCCCATCGACGTCAATCTTCTCAATCATCACCCATTGCTTCTCATTCGGCATGCACATCCCAAGAGTCTCTAGCGAATCGCTGAGCTCCACCCAACTGATGTTGTCGTCGCCTTTCATCGAGCATGGAGAAGACCCAATGAAGCTCCAACATTCCCATATCCTCTTGTGCAACCCTAATTGGAGAATTAGTTTGGATTTATTTTGATAGGTCCATTTAAGTTTTCATCTAATAATTTTGGAAGAGATGACGAGAATTAGTTCGGATTTGACTTTGATCGGTCCATTTAAGTTTCGACTTAAGATCGATCCATTTAAATTTGATTTGATGTACTAAGATATTTCGATCGGTCCACTTAAGATTTGATTTGATATAACCAAATAAATATGTTATCTTTAAATACTAGAATTTTAATTTTTGACTAAAAATTTTCTAACATATGTTTGGGTACATCTGTTTTCTTTGAATTTATTAAATTTTCATATTTCATAATTCTAGATGCAAAAATTAAATTTACAGCTATTGTTCTTCTATTATGGGTACATTTATTTAAAACTATAAATCATACATATATTAAACTACTATACATCATATATAAAAATATAATAAAAAATAAAAATTAATATTAATATTGAAAACTATTTTTATGCTACATTTTTGTATTTTTTATATTGATCGGACCCGAATCAAATGACCATAGTGCCACCCACCAGACCTTATTTTCTTCTTCCCCAAGCTCTCTCACAACCCCTTTCAAAGCCTCTAAGTTTTCTCCACTCTCCGAAAGCCGATCTACAGTCGAGATTCCTCAGAGAGAATGACGAAAATTTCAGAATCGTTGCCGCCAAAGGGTGGGTTTTCTTTCGATCTTTGCAAGAGGAATGAGATGCTTGCGAAGAATGGGTTGAAACAACCGTCTTATCTGAAAACCGGGACCACCATCGTCGGATTAATTTTTCAGGTAACCTTTGAGTGTTCGTGATTGTTTGTGTTTATTCTGCTTCGAAATTCGTTGTTTTGATCTTTGCAAGTTCGGGTTTGCATCTTAGGTTGTCTGTGAACTTTTTGAGTGGAGACTAGGGTTTTTGAATATAGAATTTTCCTTATGGATTTACACTTTAGTGGAAGAATCTGGAATTTTGAGTGAGAATTTCAATGTATGTGATACAAAGACTTGATTTTTGGACCGTTTTGTTATCTTGCGTTGATACAACAACCTGATTTTTACACCTGAAATGTATTTATGTATGTTTTAGGGGTTTTTAGACCGTGTTGATTTTAAAATGACTCGGTGCTACATATGAGGCATACTACATATTGTGTTTGGCAGGAAGATCATAGTTATTTAACAAGTGGTAGTGTAGCTCAGTGTTTATTTAGTTTACTTTTGTTGTGGATTTTTTTGTGGAAGGTTTTGTTAATTGGTTGTAGGTGCTTGTTGGTAGATCTTGAAAGCACACATTACCTTCGTGGTTTGCATATATATATATATATATATATATATATATATATATATAGCTAATGATTTTGCTTTCTTGTTGAGTTTGTTGGTTGCTTTAGACATCAGAAAACTGAAGTAGCTCTTACCTGTATTATTGTTGAATATCTAAATGGATAATGTCTCTTTTATTATTTAGTTACATTCTTTTTTCTCACGTGTTTGTGAGTGACATTTTCCAGATTTATGCTAGTCCCTGTATTTTGTCACTGGTAGGACTTCTCTGGTTGATGTTGTATTATATTTAACTGATGAATAGAGTCGACTGCTTTGAAAGTATTTGTTTCCCTTGTTATGTTATATGTTATGTATGATTGAATGTAACACATGAGCATATCTGGTGACTGTGTAAATTTAACTGGAATGTTGGTGCAACTTATATGCTCCATTATTTTTTAAAGCTAATAAAGTCTCCTTATTTTGTATACTTATCATTGATATCGTTTGTTCTACTCTACTTGGACTGACTTGATTTGTGTGGATTTGGTGGGCTTAGCAGTTGGGAGTTGTGGTTGAATTGTTTTGTTACTTTAATGCTTATTTCTATGTTCAGTAAGCATTTCAAGTTCTGTAGAATTTTATGCAGTGTGAGTTAGTTAAGTGTGTAACTGGTGCTGTTACACTGAGTGCGATGCATAAGAGTCGGATGTTATTCACATACTCTCTTTTGCCTGCAGAATATTTCCTTTTGAGAGTATAAAGATGGTGAGGCTAGTTTTTACTTGATCTCCAATGAAACATCTTGTGATTGTTGTATGAAATCTACTTTGTACTACTGAAATTAGTCGTATCTTACATAACTGAGGATACCTTTTATTAGCTTGACTCCAGGATGTTAGTTGACTGAATATTTATTGCTATTTGATAAAGAAGATGGCGCGAAATAGCTGATTATTCACTTTATTATCTATCCTTGACACTATGTACATGCTTTAGGACGGTGTCATTCTTGGAGCCGACACACGTGCCACTGAAGGCCCAATTGTTGCTGATAAGAATTGTGAGAAGATCCATTACATGGCTCCTAACATCTATTGCTGTGGAGCTGGGACTGCTGCTGATACAGAAGCTGTCACAGGTATCAACTTACTAAATTTGCTCCTCTCCAGTTTTGCTCTTCTCTTGTGATATACATCTAATGTTTCATTGTTTTATGCCTTCTGCTAGACATGGTTAGCTCCCAGCTGAAATTGCACCGCTATCATACCGGTCGTGAATCTCGGGTTGTGACTGCTCTCACTCTTTTGAAGTCTCATCTCTTCAGGTGACTTTTTATTCTGGGCTTCGGTAGCATCATCATTTCTAGTATTTAGACTAATTTTCTAAAATACCTTGATTTTACGTGTGAATTAGCTATCAGGGTTATGTATCGGCTGCCTTGGTTCTTGGCGGGGTCGATGTGACTGGCCCTCATTTGCATACCGTGAGTTATTTTTCCAAGGGAAAAGTTAATATTTTCAATTATGTATTTTTATTTTGTTGCGATCTAACATGTTAAATGACATACTCCAAGATATACCCTCATGGTTCAACCGATACACTACCATTTGCCACCATGGGCTCTGGCTCACTTGCTGCGATGGCTGTTTTTGAATCGAAATATCGTGAAGGACTGAATGTGAGTTCATTATTTTTCTTTTTAGTATCCAAGTGATTACAAGTTTGAGTTTTTCAAATTGATCCATAAGAGATTTAATGCAGAGGGATGAAGGAGTAAAGCTAGTAGCTGAAGCAATATGCTCTGGTATATTTAATGACTTGGGAAGTGGAAGTAACGTAGACATCTGTGTTATAACAAAGGTTTGTCTTATAATTTGTTTTCTTATTTTCCAGGCACCCATAATTGTTGTATGATTTTTAATGAGTCTTGCTTGGTTTCTTTTCAGGGGAAGCAAGAATACCTGAGAAATTATTTGCTGCCTAACCCTCGTACATATGTCAGTGAGAAGGGCTACACGTTTACCAAGAAGACTGGTTAGTATTTTATCATTTGTACTAGTTGAGGCTGGAGAAAATATTGCTCTCACTACATTTTACTTGAAATATTGTGTACTTTAAGTTCTTCCTACAATTACCTGATTATCTGTGCACTTAAATGTATCCACTTGTGTGTGTGTGTGTGCCTGCCTGCCTGCAGAGGTGTTGCTTACAAAGATCACACCATTCAAAGAGCTAGTTGAGGTGATTGAAGGTGGAGATGCAATGGAAGAGTGAATTGTCCCGATTGAAACCCATCATGATGGTTCACGTGAACATTTGTGGTTTTGCTCATTTGATTTGTTGGATGAACTATATGACATTATGAGTGCTGAAGATTTGTCTCGGTCGAAACTTTGTATCCATGTTGCAGCATATTAGATATTTTAATACTTACCTAAACTTGTCTCTTTATTACTTTAATCAACTTAACCGTCATCATTGTTATTATAATCTGTTAGTATGTACAATAGTGCTGGCTGTGATTCCTATCAAGTATCATTGGTCTCATGCAGTGTTGTCCATGTGAATGAAGTTTGGCAAAACGTTCAGTTGGTGAAACATGCAAAAGATTATGAACCAATTAATAGTAGGCGAAAGAAATCGAATCGGAAGTGTAGAATATAACAAATAGCTAGAAATTGGTGTTGCATTACAAGACATTCCTATAGATGTTTCATCAGCTTATGGTGAACCATTTACTCTCCTTAGTGTAGTAAATATCCACCTCATGTCTAAAAGCTTTGTGTATATTTAGATCCACACTATAAGAACATAGAACCACCCAGGAATTTTTTTGTGATATTTTTCACAATTGACTTGAGCTTGGGGTAGTTTTTGCCATGAGTTTTGTATCTGGTGCTGTCAATAATTTTGAACCACTGGCTCGCTGGGTTGCACTTGCTTTCTGTGGCCAAGCATTTGCAGTCATTTGTGATGATGTTGTTGTCCGAGTTTATATCCAAACATAGAGTAGTACCATCTTGGAGTTTCGAAGATAGATGCATCTTAGAGTTTGAGATAGCTTCCCATTTAGAATCATTTTCATTGCAGAATATGCCCAGTGTTGCGAGGTTCCCTAAGCCCCCTGCTTGTAGACAGAAATACGTTCCGATTACAGTTAATGTTTGTTGGGGAGTATACTTCCATTGTTGAGCTTTGGGGCAAGGACCTAAAACCATCTGGGGTGGGTAAAAGTAAAAGAATTTAATCTGCACGCAAAGGCCAGTCATAGGATGGAAAAGTAGTTTGTGTGGATGTGCTTCTTCGTAGCCCGGTCCTGCATTAATTGAATTCACACAAGTTTATAGTAAGTTCGTCGTGTTGTTAAGAGTCAGAGAATCTGTATTTTGTAATGTGATGTGAATTCGCATATTATTTATCAAGTAGTACCTGTAAATGTATACTGGAGAGCTGATATCTTGTTCAGCATAGTTTGATTTCTGATGTCACACCAATTCCAGTTGTAAACTCCATAAGTTTCATCATGCCCAACGACTCCTTGCCTTATATAATAACTACCCGGAAGAGTCCACAATGCCCAGTCTATGTCGAACTCGGCTGCCCATCCCATAAGACAGTGCAAGAACCTATTGTCATTGACATTAGTGCCCCTCATATCGAAACCAAACTCGCTCATGAACAAGGGGTACCCTTCGTCCAACAGGAAACCCACTTTCTTCTTTATGTCCGCCATCTTCTCTCCACACACTTGATTCAAGTTGCCCGACTTCCATACTTGTCCATTTGAGAAACCATACCAGTGCATCTCGAATGCTAACTTGTTTGAAAAACTTAAGTTCACTGGTTTAGCGGCTAGGAAAGAGAGATCCGAGTCGAATTGTAGGCCCGAGAGGATGATGATGACGTTAGGGTTAGCTGCGTGCACTGCTTCTGCTCCTCGGGTCATGTGTTTGTACCAATCGTTTACGTTTTGTCGAGGCCCTCGGAGTTCATTCCTCAAGCTCATGCCGACTACATTCTTGGTGTCATTGAAAGTGGTGGCAACCTTGGTTAGGCCCTTTAACCACTGGTCAGGGTCAAAATACTTGTCCCCAAAGAACCCATTCTCATCAAAGCTGCTGCAACACCAACCAAGGATGCTTATATGGTTGTCAAGTATGATCAGCACATTGTTCTTTGCAAGACTAGCCACTACAGCCTGGTAAAAAAAAAATGATAAAAAATAATAAAAAAAAGTTCGACAACTGATATATGATTTTAAGGGGGTTTGATTATGCCATTAAAACTAATTTAAGTGGAATAATTCACTTTATGTATACTAGTACTCGATTTTGTGCATATGTACATATATACATAAAGTATTATAAATTGTATGTATGCACATAATGTTAAAATTATAAGTTATATAATAGTATTATATTTTAAAAATTGATATTGGTAAAAATAAGTAGTATAAAACTTTTTAACTACATCTATAATTAATGTGCTTAATTATATAATATAAAGACTAAAGGGCCATATTGTAATTATTCAAACTATAACTAAGTTACAGATTTAACTCAATGTTTTAATAAGTTTTTAAAATTGCAACTAGATCCTTAAGGTTTATCAAATTTCTAAAAATTGGCCCAACCCTAAAATCCCATGATGGGGGTGCCTACGGTGACAGCACCTACGGTGCACTCTCCCTCACCATTGGATCATGTTAAATAACATGATCTAATGGTGAGGAGGGTGCACTGTAGGTGCTGTTTAAAAATGCACCGTAGAGCCCCCCCACTCAAAATCCCAAAATCTGAAATTGAAATCGAACGTCCCGACCATGGTGCTCTTGTGCATCCGATTGAAGTCGAAAAATGCATCCCTCGGACATGGCTCCGACTGCCGCTGCGTGAGAAGGCGACCGATTGAAGTCGAAAATGGCTCTGACTGGCTGCGAGTAGACGACCAGTTGAAGGCAGCAATGGCTTCATGACTGGTTGAAGTCGATAATGGCTCTGAGCAGATGACTGGCTGCCGGAAATGCCGACGATCGACGAGCGACTGTATCTACTTTTCAACTCGACGGAATCAACGCCCTCCACCTCACCTGGTTGGCGACCCGAGCGAGTGGCCTACCTCGTCATACTGCCATTCACCCGTCGGAGATTCCCCTTGCCCTACGACTGGGAGCGTCAGGCCGACGACCTAGAGCGGGTGGCCTAGCTCGTCAAACTCGCAGAAAGTTCTGCTATTATCCTCCATCGCCGACGATGAGCTCCGAGCACGTCGACTGGTCCGACAGCACCGTGAAAATCCAGATTTGGCGAAGATGCTGACCAGTCCAAGGTCGCTGGCCAGCGGTCAATGTCAGTAAAACGGCGCTGACGGCGCTGACGGCGCCGGTCGCCGAAAAATCCAATTTATTAATTAATTTAAATATAATAATTTAATTTTTTATCAATTAATTATGCATTTTAATTGATTAATAAGTGCTATTGATCTATCAAATTAATGCAAATGGAAAATTTTTCTTAGGGCTTGATTGTTTACAAGTTAATTAAATCTAACTCAACTTTAACTCAATCTCACTATCTTTAATGTTATTCATATAATTAAATAATACAAACAAATCATTCTTACACATTACATCAATTTTAATTCACTATTCATCCACTCACATAATTTAACTACCTATCATTTCCAATCATTTATCTCTTACTTTTACATCAAATCAATTTTAATTATTTTATTTTAAATATTATTTTAATACATTCTTAAAATTTCACTAACAACTAATCATACCAACTTTTTAAAATTAACTATGGTTAACCAAAATAACTCATTTTGTACAAATTATTTCATAAACAATCAAGCCCTTAACTTTTTTAGTTAATTATAATAAAACCGTTACATTTTACATATATATTAATATATATGTAGTCATCTTTTACTAACTATTTTCCGTCATATGATAGTTATTATTAAAAGCAAGCAATTATTATTCACATAAAGTTACATAAGCATCAAAAATTTTCTATTGCAATTTTTGTTAAAATTATTTATTCTAAAGTTAATATTAATACATGTAATTTATAATACTTTACAATTTATATTTAAATATATATATTTTTAAGAAACCGGCAAATTTAAATATTTAATTCACTGCTTTCTGTCGACAGCTATCAATCACCTTATTCGGTCTCCACCAAACTTTAGAAATAATTACATTTTAAGATGTGAAATTGGCTTTCTGGCTCATTCTATAATCCATATTTTATAGTTGGCGCACTTGATTTCTGTGCCCCACAATTCTCCATTCTTTACTATTGGATTGATTGAGTTTGAGTTATTAAAACATAGTCAAAACCTTATCCAGATTATATCATCTCCCAATTGCTTCATTATGTGTACATGTAACTTGACTGCCAACGAGTCGAGCCGAGTCGAGCATTGGTCTTATCGAACAAGATTGATTTTTTTTTTTAACTGTTCGAGCTTGTCGAGCTCGAGCTAAACTCGATAAGAAAATACAATAGCTCGAACTCGGATGAGTTCGGTTCAAAATTTTTTAAATAAAATTATCATTAAGTACTTGTGTTATACTATTTAAATATATATGTAAGGGGTATTTTAGTAATTTAATATATATTTATTGAGTTGTTCAATAATGCAAAATATGAGCTCGAGTTCGACTTGAGTTCGGTCAAACTCGAGCTCGAGTCGAGCTTTGACTCGAGCGCTCGCGAGCGGCTCGTGAGCCACTCGTTTGCGGAGCCCTATTTGACTTGTAAGTTTGATATTGTCCAATTTTAAGAGTTTAAGTTTATATTTTAAAAAATCTTTTTTCAAAGGTATTATATTATTTAAATATTTTAAATTTATATATATTAAGAAAAAATTTAAATATTGAATTAACTGTTTCGTGTTAACTTGATAACAACAATTGAGCCAAAAAAAAAAAAAAAAGAGAAACAAATATATTATTATATATTAGTACGATACCTGGTAAGCGTCGAGTAGGGAGAGATCAATAATGGCGGGATTGTTGGTCTGAAAACCGGCGATGGACTCGAAAAGGCCGAGGTTTGTGAAAGAGCGCCTGACGGTGGTGGCAGCCAAAGTGTCGTTGGTGAACAAGAAGAGCGGCCATGTGAACCTCACGCAGTTGAAGCCCATACCCGCGATCCCCTTTGAAATCGCATCCACCGGCCGCTTGCTCAGCCCCTCCGCCACGCCCGCCTCCAGATGGGACGGCCAATTCACACACGACAGCTTCACGCGCTTCCCCCAGTCGTCCACTATCCACCGAGAATCCGTCTGGAGCGCCTCTGTGCCCACCACACAACACACAAACAGCCATAACAACCAAATGGATTTCTCCATCTTTTTTTTTTTTTTTTTTGGGTTTATGATTGGTTGATTGGTTTGTTTTGTGAGTGGGAGACTCCTTCACTCTGCTATTTATTTTAATTTATTATGCAACTGCACATGGCCTCTTTTTTTTTTTTTTTTTTTGGTACAAGGAAAGGAGGCCTAAGGCCTAATAACTAGCTAACTAAAATTCGACGAGCATAAGACACCCCTCTCAAATCGTGGTCAATCCATGCTCCAACCCCCGGAGGGGGTAATGAAAACCGATGAATCCCCAACGGGGAAGACTCCGCGATCCCCGCCAAATGATCTGCTGCAAAATTTGCCTCACGGTGCACATGTTGGATACGAACCTGCCACTCCCTTTGGATCAAATCTCTAATCGCACGAACTAGACCATTATGCACCCCGAAGTGCTGTCCCGAGCCATTGATCATACTGGTCACGCATTGTCTGTCGGTTTCTGCTACGACTTTACGAGCCCCTCGATCCCAAGCCATCTGAAGACCTTGAAACACCCCCCAAAGCTCGGCTCCTGTAATGGTGTTGAAGCCAATATTCATAGTGAAACCCTCCATCCACTTTCCTAGCTCGTCCCTCATTATACCACCCGCACCGCTTAGGCCCGTAGTGCCGTTAAAAGATTCATCTGTATTGATTTTAACCCAGCCCGGGTCCGGTGGCACCCAACGAATCAGGCGTGCCTCATATCTCACAGCGCCAACTTTGCGAAAAGCTTCACATGCGCGAGCGTACGATTCCGCACTAGAAAGAACCGCTAACCGTCGGCTTTCACAGGACCTAACCCGGGAGTTAAATACTCTGTCATTTCTCCATTTCCAGATGTTCCAAACCGTAATTGCAAACAAACTACTCCAATCCGGGAAGGGCCCGACGCGCCATGTCGAAATATTTCTGTGCATCCATTCTCGAAAAGGGCTAGTGAAGAAATCGTGAAGCTTCCCTGTCGGAATTAGACAAGCCCATAGGCGCGCTGTCTCGGGGCAGTCCCGCAGCGCATGAAGAATCGTCTCTGCTTCGCCACAGGCCTCGCACATTTCCGAGCTCGATATATGTCTTCGTACACGCTCGGCGTTTGTTAATAGTCGTTCCTTGACCGCGAGCCATAGGAAGGTACGCACCCTTTGCGGAGCTGCAATGCGCCACACACACTTCCACAGCCCACTTTCCGGAGATCGCCCGTGTGGGTTAAGAGCCTGGTACGCCGATTTTGTCGAGAAATTTCCATCATGGGACGGGCCCCAGAATATGCTATCCTCTCCGGAAGAATCTCGTGGAGGGAGAGTACCTGCTATACTCATAACGATGGATGACGGCAGCAGACCATGAAAAGCTGCCCACCTCCATTCTCCGTGCTCGTCAACGTACTCCGCGACTGTGGATTTGAGGCTACTCTCATCTGGGCTTCGACTGGCATACTGTAAAAGCGGGCCATAGGAGTGCAACCAGGGGTCAGTCCAGAAAAGAACAGACGTGTTGTTCCCCAAGTTCCACCTTATCTGTTTCATCATGTCTGGCCACACTTTACCTAACGCTCGTATTATCACGGACCCCCGTTTGCAGCGAGACACCTTCAGCCCCGAAGAAGGTGTGATGGCATATTTGGCAATCAAAACTCTAGCCCACAAGTCGTTGCGCTTTGTTAAGATCCCCCATCCTAACTTCATAATCAGCGCGTTGTTCATACGACGCAAGTCTTTTAGCCCCAGACCTCCCTCGTCTCTTGGCTTACAAACGTCCCGCCAGGCGACCAAAGGGATTTTACGGCTCTCGTTAGTGCCTCCCCACATGAAAGCCCTACCACGACGCTCCAGCCCATCCGTAAGCGAGGTCGGCAATAGAGTAGATTGCATAGAGAAGTATGGAAGCGAATTTAATACCGATTGGGTAAGCGTCACCCGCCCTGCGAGTGAGAGTGTACGCATGCGCCATCCAGAAAGCCGCGATTCCACCTTATCCATTATATGCGAGTAAGTGGATGAATTCACCCGATCGTGTATGACCGGCACACCCAGATATTTTCCCAGATTATTCGTCCATTTGAAATGAAGAGAGGCTGCAAGCCGATGTTGGACATCTAGTGCTACATTCTTCGAGAAGAAAACTTGGGTCTTGGCTTCACTTACCTTGAGTCCCGAGATTTGGCAGAAATAGTCAAGGGTTTGCCGGAGGACCCCGGCCTGCTCATCTGAAGCTTCTACAAAGAGGAGAAGATCGTCGGCGAACATTAAGAAGGGAATAGAGACCGCGCCCCGCCCAACGGATATTGGCTTCCACACTTTGTCCTCCACTGCTTTGTCAATAATTTGGGCAAGCCTCTCCAAGCAGAGCACAAAGAGGTAAGGAGAGATAGGATCCCCTTGTCTAACACCTCGTGTGGGATGGAATTTCTCGCCGATTGTGCCATTCCATAACAGGTTCATTGACGCCGAGCGCACACAAGCCATGATTGCTGTTATCATTATTTCGGGGTAGCCCGCTAGATGGAGTGTTTCCTCAATGAAGTCCCAACTGAGGAAATCATAAGCTTTTTCAAGGTCGACTTTGATGACCATATGGCCCTTTGCTCCTCTGGCCCGTCGCATTGAATGGATGAGCTCCTGGGCCACCACTATATTGTCTGTAATATTCCGGCCCGGGACAAAGCTAACTTGTTCTGGATGAATGAGATTGGGAAGGGTCGCTTTCATACGATTAACCAAGATTTTAGTGAAGAGCTTATAGACGACATTGAGCAGACTGATGGGCCTGAAGTTCCTAATGGTTGTCGCATTCGCGATCTTGGGAATTAATACAAGAAGTGTTCGGTTGACCTCCCTTGTGACTTCCCCCTGGCGCCACATTGTACGAATAAACTCCCGTACCGATGGCCCCACCACCTCCCAATTTTGCTTAAAAAAGAGAGCGTTCAGGCCATCGATACCTGGGGCTTTTAAGGAGCCCATGCTTTGTAGTGCAGATAGAACTTCTTCGTCCGAGATTTCAAGTTTCATGGTATGAAAGTCGTCTTCGTCGCACATATGGAAAAGGTTGGGCAAGGGGCTGGATAGTAGGGCCCGAGGGGTTGCTGTGTAAATGTCCCGGAAAAAGTCCGTAGCTAACTGCCGGAGCGTCAGCGGGTCCGACACAAGATTCCCTTCAGCATCTACTAACTCAGTAATTCTCCCCTTCCGTCTCCGGGCCTTAAGGTGTTGATGGTAGTAGGTGGTGTTTCTATCTCCAAGGTGCAGCCATTCCCTCGAAGATTTTTGAATGAAGAGTAGCTCTTCTTGCATAATGACTTCGTCTAGCTCTGCACGTAGCTGTGATTCCAGGGTTACTAGGCTCTCTTTATAGTAGAATTGACGGCTCTTTTGTATACCTCCTATACGGGCTAGGAGTCGTTTCTTGCGCTGGAAGATATTCCCAAAAACGTTCAGATTCCATAACTTTGCTTTCTCTGCGAAGTTGGTTGCTTCATCAATGAAACAAGTGGTAGGGGTCCAAACGCTTTGAAGCATAGAGTGGAAGCCCGGGTGCATAAGCCAAGCCGCAAGGAAGCGAAAAGGTTTGACTCCTTGCGAGACAAATTCTACGCGCCCGAATGCTAACATAATGGGAGAGTGGTCCGACTGTATTCGCGGGAGGAGCCTGACCCTACTTGTGCCGTACTTATCCATCCAAAACGTATTGGCAACAAATCTATCCAACTTCTCCGAGACTCGACCGTGTTGTCCCTCCCGAGCCCACGTGAAAAGGTGGCCGTCAGTGGCCACTTCTTGCATGCTATTCAAAAACATCCACTCGCCAAATTGTCGACTAACATTACAACGGGTAGAGGAGCCACCTGATTTCTCCGAGTGATGTAGAAGGCAGTTGAAGTCGCCTCCAATAAGCCATGGCTCTGAGATTCCTAACGCCAATCCTCCGAGTGTGGTCCACAGTCTACGTCGAAGGGTGGGATTGGGACTCGCATAAACAAAGGAAATCAGGCAGACCTCATCGTTTTTGCATACCCGAACATGGATCAACTGTCTCGTGGAGCCCAACACCTGTATATCTACCTCATCTGTCCATAGAATCCAAATGCCTCTTGAATGAATAGTTTGTGAATTTGGGATGATTAGGGGTCGTTGTGGATAAAATAATTTTGTTTTGACTGAGGTTATGGGAAAAGTGAGTTAATTTTTATTTTTTTTTTTTAAAAAAATTGATTGGGTAGGAGGTTGAGTGGAAATTTTGTGTTTTTTTGATTGAATTTATAGGAAAAGTAAGTTAAATTTTTTATAAAAAGGTTGATTGAGTAAAAGGTTTGAGTAGAAATTTTTGAGCATGTTTGCTTATGAAAATTTTTTGGTTTGATTGGATTTTTTGATTTGGTTTGGTTAATTTTAAAAAAGTGGTATGGTTAGTTGTCAGTGGGTATATTAAAATAATATTTAAAATAAAATAATTAAAATTAGTTTGATGTAAAAGTAGGAGAGAGAATATGTGATGTGATAGTTAGTTAAAATAATGTGAGTGGATGAATAGTGAATTAAAGTTGATGTGATGTGTAAGAATGATTGAGTGATATTATTTAATTATATAGATAATATTGATGATAGTGGAAGTTGAGTTAGAGTTGAGTTAAAAAAGTGGTTGACTTAAAATGTTGGAATTTTTTTGAAAAAATCTTATAAACAAACATGCTTGTGTTCTGATTTAATTTATAGGAAAAGTGAATTAATTAAATTATTTTTTTTTTAAGTTGATTGAGTAGAAAAAGTTTGTAGGAAAAATCGATGGAAAGTTAATGTCGCCCAAACTTTAGACCACCTCCAACCATTATCTATATACTAGCGAGAATTTTACTCTACTCTTTTTTTTTTTACCAAAACGACATAGGTACTATTATAAATCAAAAGCGCACAAATGTGCGAAACAAAGATACAAAGCCCCCAACGGGAGAATAAAGTGGGAGGACATGTCCGAAGACCGCCTAAAATCCCGCTAGCAAAGCTAGAATAAAA